ACCTGAGGGGCGGGTCCACACACACACACCTGAACCTGAGCGGTTTTTTGTGTGGGACCCATGTTAGATCAATCACAGCTTACAACTAGCCTGAATGAAATATCTCAATGAAAGATTTATTGACACAGCTAGGCATTTTGTTTCTTTTTACGTTTTTAAAATTTTCTTCCTTTTTATGAAAATGATAGAGTCCATCTAACTGAAAGTGATATTACTAGAAGTGTGAGCAATATCTAATGGACTGATTGATGAACAAACTTATAATGCATGACACTCATTGTTTAGTAATGCTTTGTGACTGTCTAAATAATATTAACTAAAAAATTTAATAAATATTTAAATAAAAAAACTCTAATTTTTGAGTAGTTTACAGAAAACAAGGTGAGGGGGAAATAAGTCAAAACTATGTATAAATTTAAAATAATGAAACATGTTTTAAATGGAACAAGCTTTTTCACATTTTATATGTTTGTGTTGCTGAAAAAAATGTAAAATGTTTCCCACAAATATTTGTGTTTAAACAGACAGACTCATTTTCATGGTCATTTGCCTCCATGATATCGTGGCTGATAAAATGCACACTATTCCAGTCAAAACAATGGGTTTGGGATGCGGATGCTGGTCAACATCAGGCAAATTGTATGTTTGTGCAAACGATGTGTTTTGACTTTTGAGGCTCAGATATCAACCAAAAAGGGTGTTCATGATAGGGTAGTGGTTAGAGCTGAGAAAGATCACGTCGCAGTCTGAGACCTTTCTGGGTGAAGATTGCACGCATGGGTTTCCTTCACAGACCAACAACCATGAAACTGGAAACTCTAAATATACTGAAATTCATAAGATAATACTCTACTTTTCTCTGATGTACAAATTAATATTCTTTTCGTTCCTAAAAAGGTCATTAATGTTTCAATATTTTCTAATTAATACTGCCTCAGTCAAGACACAAAGTAGTTTCTACCTGAAATGTTTTAGGTTTAAAAACTAGATCATAGAGTGTTTATCATGGGAAAAGATTCTAAATCAAACATTTGCAAAAAAAAAAAAAAATTTAATAAAACACATGCATGTTCTTGTCTTTATGATTTTGTATTTAAATGCAACTTTTATATAATTTGCCAAGAGATGTAAAATTTATATAAAAAAAACTATTAGCGACCTTAGGAATATTATCAGAATTAGATTAAAAAGCAAACAAAAAATTTGAATTCAAAGTCGTAATCAAGAAAATTGAAAACAAACTTTTGATTTTTGAAATGAGCAAATAAATGATCACTTTCTATTTTCTTAATATATTTAAATTCAACCAAATGAAATGTTTTATTACAAAAAAATTATGAAGAATATTGTTTTATCAGAAAATAAATGGATTTTATTTTGCCTTTATGCAGCTTATTTGCATGAGGGGAAAACACTCACACAAACTCGACATGCAAAGGAGCTTCTTTGCATTCCCTTGAAAGATGCAAAGTCCTTCGTCCTGTCAGCTGAAACTCTTAAAAACGGACCCTGATCGATATTTTAAGCCCATATTCGTCAGCAGACCAGCTGGAACTGAGGCGTGAGGATGTTTTGGTTGCTCTCCCTCTGCTGGCTGAAGCTGCACTTGGCTGCTGGAGAACTAGACTATACCTCTCATGGAGAAGGGATGCAGCTGGAGGGCGACTATTCCTTCGCTGGACTGTTTCCTCTTCACTACACCGGGGGTCCGACTGACGGCCTGCCTGCATTGGTTCCATGTGATCAGTAAGTGTCTTTCAGAGGTTTGCTTTGAAATCCAAACTTTTATTTAAACAGCGCTGCTGTCTTTTATTTCAGAGGCAGACCCAACAAACATGCATTTCATTTGATGCAAGCCATGAGATTTGCTGTGGAGGAAATCAACAATGACACGGGTCCGCAGCCTCTTTTACCAGGAGTGAAGCTGGGCTACCAGATATACGACATCTGCTCTGGCCCGGCCAGTGTCTTGGCCACACTGGACCTGCTGGAACAGCAGCAACCACACTCCAGCAGCCCTCAGAAAGCAGTGGGTGTGATTGGGCCGGACAGCAGCAGTAAGAGTTTTACCACCGCTTCGTTACTGGGGGCCTATCTGGTTCCAGAGGTAAGAGGTTATACTGAAACAAAAAGAATCACCACACATTTTGTTTCGACTTGAAGAGAAAAATGTTGTCATTACAGGAATTTAATGATGTATAATTTATTCCAGCAAGAAATATTTGAAATTCTGAAGCGAATAACTCTATGGGTTTTCTTTAAATAAACATAAAAAACAGCTAAACACAAATGAATTGTTTACACCCTCTGCAGATCTCTTATGAGGCATCAAATGAAATGCTGAGCAACACGCTGCTCTATCCGTCTTTCTTCCGCACCATTCCCAGTGACAAGAACCAGGTGGCGGCCATGATCCAGCTCCTGGTTCAGTTCAACTGGACGTGGATCGCCCTCCTGGGTAGTGACAATGACTATGGCCTGCAGGGCATGCAGAGCTTGTTGGAACAAGCGCCACAGCACGACATCTGCATCCCCTACCAGGGGATCATCCCCTCAGCCACTGCTGACACGGTTCAGACCATGAGGAACATGGTGGAGAACATCCTGAAAACCAAGGTGAACACCATCGTGGTGTTCTCCAGCAAGACAATCTTCCACGACTTCCTCCCATTTGTCCTGGAGAGAAACGTCACAGATAAGGTGTGGATCGGGACGGAGGACTGGTCGCCATCGACTCTCATTTCGCAGATCCCCGGGATCCAAACCATCGGCACCGTGATCGGAGTGGCCATCAAAGACGCAGCCATCTTTGGGTTTAAGGATTTTGAGAGGAGGGTCGTTGAGGCTGCAGTGCAACACGTCAGCAGCTCTAACGTTTCCGCCAGCAGTAGCAACGACTGTCTGCAGAGCACAGACTTGTACAGCCTGGCCGTCAATAACTTCACCACTGACACGTACGACACCACCTCTTCCTTCAACGTTTACAAGGCTGTGTACGCTCTGGCTCATGCTCTGCATGAAGCCCTTGGTTGTGATGTTGGAGAGTGCAGCAAGAGAACTGTGAATCCATACGAGGTAAACACCAACATGTGGTGGTCACTTATTTCGTATCTTATTTCTAATAAAGCTCATTTCTTACAGATATTGGATTTTTTTCTTTTCCTCTTTCCCCCTCTCCGTGTCAGCTCCTGCCGTTGCTCCAAAAGGTTCGATTTTCTCTCTACAACACCTCCGTGTACTTTGACATAAATGGCGACCCACTTACAGGGTATGATATTGTGTCTTGGATTTGGAGGGGGACCCAGTGGTCTCTCCGAGTGGTGGGCTCCTTCACTCCGGACCCCATCTCCCTCACGATGGATCCTGATCTGATTGAGTGGCAAAGCACAGAAAACTCACAATCAGTAAGACCAGCAGAACGTCACCTTTTATAGTTCATTTACTAAGTTATTTATCATAACTCTGTCCAGCAGGAGGTACCCCAGTCCCTCTGCTCTCTGCCCTGCCCCGAGGGTCACATGATGCTGCTGACGGGCCAGCATGCATGCTGCTTCGACTGTCAGCCCTGTCCTTCTGCCACGTTCTTCAACAAAAGCGGTAAATGACGACATAAAGAGGAATGTTAGAGAATCAGATATATTCAAACAAAAATAGAAACTGAATTCAGTTATGATGCTTGTCTGAGAAAGAGGCAGATTATTTATCTTAGAATCTGTAATGCCACAGCAAAAATAAGACTTTGTAGATCTTATTATGATGCCCGCACGCGAAGCGTAAGCGGGAGTCATTTTGTTTTCGTATTGTTTTTTTTCAGTAGTTTTTGGTCAACCATAGCACAGAAACGGCTGCACCGGTCAACATGAAATTTGTCAGGACTGTAGAAGAGTCTGACCTACACTGCGCCAGCCAACGGTTTTACAATAGACCCCATATTTGAGGAGGGGGCTCCTTTCAAAGTGGGGTGTCAGGGCATGCAAAAATGCTCATAACTCAAAAACTGTTCAACATAGAAGCTTCAGATTTCTTTTGATGTTTAGCTCTGATGAGGGGCTATCCATCAGGTCCAACGTCTACCCCACCCCCCAAAAAAGACCCCCACCCAAACCACTACAAAGGAACTGGGCCAGACTGAGCTCACCCTTGAGCCTGATGTGGGTCCCCTGGCCTCCAGTTGAATAGCCCTGCACTTCAGATTTGTAGCTTTAATTAACCTTTTTTAATTAACTTAACCAGAATTAACTTTTTTCTTGTAATTTTGTATTTTTCTGCACGGTATTTGGTGTTTATTTTCATTTTTTATCTAATTTCAACAGATAGTCCGGTACAGTAACTATTATTCTTATTTTTATATTATTCTATGTTTATTTTTATTGTTACTATCTTTAATTCTATTTTTATTGCTACAGTTGATAATGTCACATAGCAATATGTTGTTTCTGTGGATTATGTATGTATCTGCTGCTGCTATTACACCCAAATTTCCCCAATGAACAAAGGCTGTTTCTATTTTCTTCTAACACAGTTGTTGTTTGTGAGGATGACCAGCAGGCGGCACAGTACTCACACAATAATGTTGGAGCCCAATTAACTCAAGAGTCCCTCAAGTGACCCCACCCCACCACCAATAAATAAATAAATAAAAATTTGACATATTTAGAAAGAAAAGCTACAAATTCTAATCTTAACTCCTTCATTTTGAACATTTCATGTTGTCTGAAAAAAATAATTTTTGTTTCTGTTATTGTAGAACCGACAGAATGCCAGCCGTGCCCCCCGGATCAGTGGGCCCCCCCGACCAGTGAAGCGTGTCTGAACAGGACTGTGCTGCTGCTGGAATGGGACAACCCCCTCTCCATTGCCCTGCTCTTCTTCCTCTCCTGCTGCCTCCTCCTGACCTCCAGCACCGCCATCATCCTGCTGCTCCACCTGAACACACCTGTGGCCAAGTCAGCCGGTGGCCGCACCTGCCTCCTGATGCTGGCCGCCCTGACCGTCGCCGCCCTGAGCACCCTGTGCCACTTCAGCCGCCCGACTCCGGTGGGCTGCATCCTCAAGCAGTCTCTGTTCACCGTCAGCTTCTCCGTCTGCCTGGCCTGCATCGCCGTGCGTGCCCTCCAGGTGGTCTGCATTTTCAAGTTTTCCTCCAAGCTGCCGCCGGCTTATGACAGGTGGATGAAAAGACGCGGTCCCGAGGTCACCATCTTTTCGGTGTCCGCCGCCATCCTGCTCATTTCTGTCATCCGTCTGTCCCTGGACACCCCTCGGCCGGCCCAGGATCTGCAGTTCTACCCAGATAAAATAGTGCTGGAGTGCAGCAAGACCCTCTCGGTGGGCTCGGGCGTCGAACTCGCCTCCGTGTCTCTGCTCAGTGTCCTCTGCTTCTCTTTCAGCTACATGGGCAAAGACCTGCCGGCCAACTACAACGAAGCCAAGTGTGTGACGTTCAGCCTGCTGGTGTACATGATCTCCTGGATCAGCTTCTTCACCCTCTACCTCATCAGCAGAGAAACCATCACCATGGCTGCGCAGGTGTTCGCCACGCTCTTCAGCGTTCTGGCCTTCCTTGCGGGATACTTCCTGCCCAAAATGTTCATAATTATCCTGAGGCCTCAGATGAACACCACGGCTCATTTCCAGAACTGTATTCAGATGTACACCATGAACAGAGAGTGACACGTTCACATGGGGGGTGGGCTTTGATTGAACTTTTCATTGTATCCTGCCTGTAAACTGTTAAATGGGAGTAAATGAATAAAATCCATCCATCCATCCATATTCTGTACACGCTTCTTCCTTTTCAGGGTCGCGTGGGTCACTGGTGCCCATATCCAGCAGTCACAGTGCGAGGGGCGGGGTACACCCTGGACAGGTCGCAAGTCCATCACAGGGCCACACATAGAGACAAACGACACAAACAACCTTCACTCTCTCACTCACACTTAGGGACAATTTAGAGTTATCAATTAACCTAACAGTCATGTTTTTGGTCTGTGGGAGGAAGCCGGAGTACCCGGAGAGAACCCACGTATGCACGGAGAGAACATGCAAACTCTACCCAGAAAGGTCCCCGGACCGGGATTTGAACCGGTGACCTTCTTGCTAAATTAATAAAATGTGTTTTGAAATCTGAACATGAACGTGTGGAATCCACAAGATTTCAGTGTTTATCTTAATGATCAGACTCTTCAGAGGAGATGTTACTGTCAGAGCAGACCTTTACTTCCATCACTGAGGATTAATATTAGGGGTGCACTGACTGCAGTTTTCTGGTTGATCATCGATCTTTAAAATCTCTGATCTGCCGATTTTGGTCAATACCGATTTTTCAAGTCACTGACACTGTCAGATGTTAAGAGTCACAGTACATCTTCAATGTTGCAATCTTATTTTATTGGAAAACATTGAACAATACTCTTGAAACAACACAAACATGTTTTAACTGGACATTAGTGCTCATTGCAGAGCAAAAGGCGACAGTGGCTGATTTTCAGATGAGAAGTCAATGCTTTCCACCATTCTTATCTAAGAATCTGCCAACCCCCCCAAAATTAAGGTAATTGGTGCCAATAAATTGCCCGTCCGATTTATCAGTTCACCCCTAATTAATAACGCAAACTTTTCACTGTAATAACAGATTTTGTTTAGTTTTATCCTTTTAAGAAAGCATAATCAAAATTAAAGAATGTTTCGAGTGTTTTAAAGAAAAGCATCCAGAATCCTTGTTTTTCTTCAACAACATGAGAGCTGAAAATTAACAACTAACGCTGAGGTGTAAGACAAACAACTTAAGTAGGCTGGGGCTGATGAGGATAAGTGGCTGCAGCTGTGACATGCGAGCAAGCTGCAGATGTAAAAGGCCGAAGAAGCAGAAATTAGCTGAGAAAAAGTGAAAAAGTGAGAAATGGGCCCATAGGAAACGCAAAGACAAATAAAAAAACTTAAACCCAAGAATCCCAAGAATCATCTTGACAAAAAAAATTATATAAAAAACTTAATAATAAACCAAAGGGCCCTCAAAAAGAAACACAAACACTGATAGTATTATTGAAAAAAATAAGCAGCAAACTATATTTAACTAAAAGAGTGAATAAAACAAATTAGCTTCCTGCAGTGAAATTACCAACTTGATACTTTCTTATATAGGTGCACCAATTAATCAATTAGGGATCAGAATCGTCTTATTTTTTTTAGTTCGACAATTTTTCTGTAAAAATTTAATGTTTGGTGCAGCTTTAGGCTTTTATGTGAACAAAAAGAAAAGGTGTGTTAATATGTGTAAAAATTAGGCAGCAAAATCTGGATTATATTAGATTCAGTGTACTGCAATATTTGTTATTGTTATACTTTTAAACACTATTTTCCATATTTTATAATGACCTACTTTATATGTATTCACACAGAAACCTCACCAGAAACTATAAAATTAAGATCATTTATCTTTTTTTAAGCAAAAACAAACCATTTCATGTTGACTGCTGACAGCTTGTAAATGACCCGTCGTAAATAATATAACGGCTCATTTTTCGCTTGTTATGAATTAATCTTATTATATTTCCACTTTAATGACAAGTGGCAGCTGGTGACAAAAAAAATTAAGAGCTGCAGCATGACGTAGGGCTGCAAATGGACACCCAGTTAGACCTAATGTGTGTGTGTGCGTGTGTGAGTGTGTGTGTTGCTATAAAGAAGAGATGAAAAGACCCTTTGTATCTGGGGGGTCAGGACTATTGACCAGTAGATGTGTGAGTAGAGTCCGAGCCTGGCTTTCCCACAGTCTGCCTTCTCGCTCACAGCCAAACACCTCGGTCAGCAATCGAAGTGTGATGAACAAGCAGCACTTTTATTACTCGGAGCACCAAGGAAGTGAAAAGGAGCTGTGGATTTCAGAAATCTACTTTCACCTTTGATTTTGAAAGATTTCAAATCAGATAAATGCTAAAAATCTTAAATCTTAGTCTTTCCACAGCAAATTTCCACTAAAACCAGCTCAGAGTCCAGATTTTTCCTCCAGACAAGTCAACATTTAGAGAAAATGTTTTGATTTTGATGTTGATTTGTCTCCTCAAAAATCCTCTTTTATTTGTGGGGTCATATTTATTGGCCTAAAACCCATCACAATGTTAAAATTACACCAGAAGAGTAAATATTGTTTTTTTTAGTAGAAACCTCAACTAAAATAAGATTTAATTATTTAGATTTATTAAGACTTAAGTGTGCCACAATTTATTCCACATTTTGAATCTGTAAGGATTTTATTAATAGTTTTTCTCTGGAAGCCAGTAAATGCATTAAACCCTGTTTAATTATTCCCTGGAGACATATCAGCAGCTTCAGCTTGTTGTCCCCTGAGTGACTGCAGAGGGAGATAAGCAGCAGCTCCTGATAAGAGACGAGCAGCTCGTCGCTCTCGTTCAGGTGGATTTAATGAATATGGTTTTATCTCTGTTTGTCACCCTGAGAGTCTTCATGGTTGCAGCCTCGGCCCAGCTGAGCCACACGACTTTAATATGTTATCACCACAATAAAAAATGAGCAGAGAGAGGACATCCTAAAAAAAAACTGTACCTGCAGTGAAGAAGTCACAGCTTCAGGATGTGTGAAAGACGTGACATCAGAGTGACCTGATTCTTTTCAGCTTGTAAATCTAGCATTCACCATATAATTTTACTTATTTTACATGACAAATCTCTTTCTAGATTTCTGTGGAGAGGACGTGGAGAAATGATCAAAAGCAGCTTAGAATCATCCTGCAGAAGAAGTTACAGGAAGAGAAGCTCCACCGCCTTTCATGTCAGAGTTTTGGAGAAAATAAATTGCAGCCATTTCATGTGTTTTCTAAGATCACTTGGTTGTGGTGGTCATCATAAAGTTATTAACTTGTAGATGCACAACCAGTTGTTAATTTCTGAGCATATCAATGCAATCTATCAAATGGTTCATGAGATATTTTGCTAACAGACAGAAGAACAGGTTTCATATAGACAGAGGCTAAGTTTTGACACCTGATCTTGCACTTTTAGTAAACTGTAGAAGTAAATGTTTGTCTCAGCTTTGAAAACACATATTTTGGGGTAAATATCTGGCAAAATAACTGAATTATAGTCATTTTGTGTTTTTTTTAATATCACTTAACCATAGTGGTCATTTTGGATCATATTAAGTCTAAAAGTTAATAAGTTCTAAAAGAACATCTTCTAAAAGTTTCTTTAAAACTTGTCCAGTGGTTCGTGAGATATTTTGCTAACAGACAGAAAGCTGAAACACACGTAAAACAGTATCACCTTTTTTGCTGGTTGATAAATACAAATAAATTGTTTTAACGTACTTTGCCTTAGTGTGCTTTTTTAAACCACAACAACATAATTAAATTTCATGTTTATTTTCTAAAATCCAGAACATTTGAAACACAGACTCTGAGTTTTTTTATTATTAGTTCTTTATTAATTGTCAAACAAGTTTTAGAAGTAAAGATTCAAAACCTGAAAGAACATTGACATATAAATTTATAAAATTTGCTGATGTCCAAACAAATATAAGA